GCAAGTATCTCGCTTGCCCGGACCCAAGTCATGGCGAGGCTCGGGCCTTCGGCCCTTGCGTTCACTATAAACAGCCTTGAGTGTATCCACCGCATCCGCCGCAACTTTTCACTTACCACTTACGCGAACCAATTCACTTTTATAAAAAAAAAACACTTTTCAAGAAAGCCTTCAGAATTCAAACTGCGCATTTACCGCCGGAGCGGCGCGAAGTGCCGCTTTAAAAAGACTTTCGTAAGTTGTACCGAATACTAGACTTCAGCCACTTTGTTACGTGGACGTTTATTGCTTCCCTGTTCATTGCCGTTAATATCGTTACTGCACTTGAACACGATCTCAACACTTTTTGAACACATTGCTTTCTGAGTGACTTAGTTCATTCGGTATGGAGTAATATATTGCTGCCAAAGAGTAGTCAGCCACCAGCCAGTAACTTTGTAAAAATTTAAAGTTTGTGTGTCAAATAATAAGTGTAATTCAAATAGTAGGCAGTGTGATTACCTGTCCACTATTTGGATTACATCACTCGTGAGGTGACTGGCAGAGATGTGGAATCATAGTAAGGTCACGGATTTTTGAAATGGTAAAACTTACAAATAGTTCGTTTTTAAATGTCTTTATCAACCCTTATCCAGTTTTATGTATACCCAAAATAGGCTCAATCTCTATTAAAAACCTCCACCTTCATCTGAATTGTCACTATTACATTTGAATAAAATATTACAAACTTTTCATTTACAAACTAGCCTTTGAAAATGGTACGTTGTATGTGGGTTAAAGATGTCTAATATTTAAGGCTGTTTAGAAAATATTACGAACTTGTATTTGTAAAAAAGCGTATGGAATGTACAAAACATTGACAATAAGATACTATCATATCTGATACATTAATATACAACTTTGTTATTTTCCCTATTTTCACGCGAATTTACACCAATTAATTATTTTAAAGAAGCTCAAAAGAATGACAGGCATTTTAGCTCAAAGCGAGTCGAAATATTGTCCTGAAAATGCAATATTATCCCGAAAGATTATTTCGCAAGGGAGATTATTTTCACCAGCATAGTGTGAGGTCATAATGTGTCTCCTTATCAACGCGGTGTCAGCTCGAGATTGAAGTTATTTATGCTGTCGTTAAAACCAAGCACGCGAGCAGACATGCAGAGCCAAAATTTCTCAGAAAGCGAAACTTAATGATTGTCGCGTGGGAGTCTTTTGAATCTCGAAATAGCCTCCTCGTGAGCTGCGGCATTAAGGGCCAGCTATCTCACTTCACCTCCGCATTTAATAACTCAGGCCACTTAATTTGGCCCTCGCCCTACCCACCCAAAGCCAACATTTTTCTCTAGTGAACTTGGCCTTTTCATCTCCCTCCATGAAAACTATAGTTTATCCGTTAACTGTTGTGTGTGGTTAAGGATGGGGATGACCCAGGTTAAATAAACGGTGTTCGGCATGCTTGGATGATGGGTGGATGAGACAGGTAGCTGAAAAGCCTTGGGGGACCTGTAAGATTTTTTTCTTGTGGAACAGTTTTTTGTGAGAATTAACCTATTTTATGGTTTGACTTATTGACATTGAAGAAATGGAACCTGCAGACTGGCTCATTCAACTTTTATTATTATTATTATTATTATTATTATTATTATTATTATTGTTGTTGTTGTTGTTGTTGTTGTTGTTGTTGTTGTTGTAGTTGTTGTTTTTGTTATTATTGCTATTATTATTATTATTGATTGAGAGTGATTGAGGGCACGTCAACTACTAGGGTTACTAGCCCCGTAAGTATAGAGGATGTTTTGCTCGGGATGTGGCTCTGGCCTTTTCCCAGCTGGATGGCGAGATCCGGCGCCGACCTGTCGACTTGCGAGGTTTTACTCACCCAGGTATCTCCCACCAGCCGGGAGAAGCTCTGAGCAGCTGATTGGTCTTCCGGCATGTAGTGTAGTGTACTGCTTGTTAGTGTAATTGTGGGTAAGGGTGGGAGGAGAGGACAAGGAAGAGGAAGTGAAGGACAAACTATAAAACGAAATATGCTATTTCTCTCACCATATTCTTCTACAAATTTGTGCAAACCGCATCACGATGCCTCAAACCATTTCGAACAATTTCGCGCTCAACAGCTTGGGTGGTCCATACTGTGTAGTAGCAGCGATGGTGCCAGCTTACCCCCTCTGAGCACAGGTTCATTCCTGGTGTCCCGTATGGAATTTGAGGGGGACGAAGAGGGATTGAAACAGGTTTTGTCCGGGGGCTCTCCCATTCACCGTCTATCATTCCATCCTTGCGCCATTGATTAATCATCGTTGTGACCATCCATCAAATCACGCATCCATTCCAGGCATGGTCAGATATTCGACTCTACACAGCTCGACAACGTAAAACTAATGGTGCTGCAACATCACATACTTTCTCGTATTATTTGTAGCTTTTGTAATTTTAGAAAATAGTGTTGAACGAAAATCAGTAGCACGCCAATTTTATAAAGCGCGCAATTCCCACTCCGGGAAAAATGTAAAGAAAAAAATTAGTCGTTTTTGAGCATATGTTTTTAAAATTGCCTTTATTTCTTGCGATATAAACAACATTATTGCGACAAAATTAGTGATCTATTGAAAAAATGTACGGGACCTCATTTTAAGATATAATTTGAAGCACAGATTTCATTAAAAAAACATCGTTCTCAGCAATATTGTAATTGGAAGACGCCGCCGCAACAATTACTTTTCCGATTATAGAAAATTAAGAGTTCAACGAAAATCGAGCCTGCATCATTTTTATAAACGTACTTTGCTATTTTATACGGAAATAAATTAAAAAAAGAAATTGGAGCCATTTTAAAACAATTTTGGAAATATCCTTGAGACTTCATTTAGTATATTATCTCCAAAATAAAAATATAAGTTTCAAAATCAAGGGAGGGAGGCGACATCAGAGAGGTCGATCGCAAAATAACAGATATGGCGAAAATTCTGTCCACAGTTCATCCGCTAGCATTGTTCGCGAAAGCGCAAACCGGCTACTTGCAGGAACAAGGATTTTTCACTTTATCATCAGAGATATACAATAGGAATTTGACTGCCAATAATTGCAGTTTGTCACTGCTGCATTAAATAATTTTCTGTATAATTCGTCAGAAGTATCGAAAATTAAAAACAGTTGAACAGTGCACGCACGAAAAGAAGCGAGGGAACGTGATCCTTTCCCTGTGGCCCAACTTTTCCGCGATCGTCACCTCATGTCTCTCTCAGAACTCTCGACGGAAAACTGAGGCTACCAAGGCCTAACTCGCCTCCACGCTTTCTCCAGATATTGAAGGCTACGTACCCTTCGTAGTTGAAACGGCCGATGAGAATTGAAATGTACACAGCAAACTATCAGAGGAAAAGTGCGCAGAAAGTGGAATAGACATCGACCTCCACGTTGCTGGCAATCACCCACGTGCCAAAATGCGAGCGAAGAATGTTTCAGAACATCATTCCTCGCTTGAGAAGTACTGCTCCGTCCAGCCTCGGGTATTTTTTCAAAGTTGTTCAGCTGTGGTTCTGAGATCCTATTAAGGAATTTCCACGGAATTCATCGGTCACAGCGCTTTCAGTTGCGAGGAAGTGAGGATTTGATGGCTGCGCCAGCCGCCCGCCAACGCCTCTGCTTTCGTGATCATAAAGGCATCAATCAATCCGGCCCCGCCCC